CTGTCGATGGGATTTGAACACCCAACCTACCACTTGGAGGGTTGACAACCTGACCACTTCACTAGGTCGCCACACCCACACTATGTGCTGTTTGTTTAAAGCTCTATAATCACAAAAACTATAGAAAAATTTCTGTGCAAGAAATTAATTTCTCTTTGATCAAAGTTTCAATAAAAATTACTGAACCAATATTTGAAATTGATTTTAATTATGAACATCCATATATTAGAGCCAGTAATCTAAAAATTCTTCTTGATTATTCTGGTTTCATTTACTTCTTTGAGCATTGGAATAACTTTGATAATCCCTTTGACTTATGAATTTGCCATTCTTGCTATGAATATTTAAAAAAACATAAAACTCCACCTTTATTATTAGCCAATAATATGTGGATCAGTTCTACTCTACCATGTCTTAAAGACCTAACAATCTCAGAACAACTTCTTATTTTATCTAGATATTTATACATGAATCTTATTCAATTAACAAATAAAAAACATACTCATCACAAACTTAAGAGACATATTATAATGTTGCTACAAAATCTGATTTCATTAATAACCATATTACTCCTGCTGATATTTCAACTTTGTAAATACATAAAAGTAGTGTTTGTTAAAAAAAGGACTCTTACTTATAATCAACTCAAAAAAGTGCTTCAAGTTCATAAAAGAAAATAATAGCAGTATTTTAATAGCTTTTTACACATAACAAATTATTTATAAATAACCTTAAATTTGATGAAAATGCTTTAAATAATCTGCTTGAAGGAGAAATTTCTGATACTTTAACTTTAACAACCACAGTTGTAGATATTAATTCTTGAAAAACTAAGCACTATACAGGTTATACTTATGAGCCTTTGTCAGATTACCAAGATTTGAATAATAAAAGTAAAAATAAAGATAAAGCACTGCTTAATTCAAATAAACATGTTAATAAAAATTTTGACTATAATTTAATTTATGCTACAAATGAACTTAGACCTTCTGAAATAATAAATATTAATAATGTACTGATTACTAATAGAGAACTTACTTTGCTATTTTTCAAAAAACTTATTGATAAATCAAATTGTTATAATTGTGAAGTAAGAACTGAACTAATAGAATTACAAATATTAAGTGTAGCCTATAATAATAAACCTTTAAACAAATATATTAATTCAACTCTTTTTTTGGCTGGATTTCCAGTTCTCTATCCATATGGTGATAGTGGTTATAAGGGTTAATTATTTAAAATCTCATTAAATAAGTATGCCAATCATTTTATGCATCATCATAATCTAAAGTTCAGACAACATAAGTCATTTCCTTTTGTTATCTTCAATGTTTTGCAGTGGTGAAAAGTATCAACAGAGCCATACAATTTAACAAGAAATAATAATTTTGATCAGTTAGCAAGATTAATATCATGCTAAAACCTGAAGATATTGATTTAGCTATTAAATAAACAACTTATTAGTAATGCAGCAATTATTGAATTGCTCAGAAATATCAATTCTGCTAGTTTCAAACTAATGGCATCTTGTTAATTCTGTGCATATATGCATAATGAAATATGTGCTATTATTATACGAAATGGCACACCTTCACTGTTCATTACAATAAACTCTGCAAATTTACATAGTTCTATTATCATGATGTATGCTAGAAGTAAGATTAATCCTGAAAACTCTACTTCTGAAAATTTTTCAAAAGCTTCAGAAAGAGCTTGACTTGCACATCTTGACCCTGTATCTGTTGCTAATTATTTTGATATTATTATTAGAACAATAATAGATACATTAATCAGGTATAAAAGAAAAAATAATGGTATATTTGGGTTAATAAAAAATTATTATAGTATTATTGAACATTATAATCATAGTATGCTGCATTATCATATGCTTATTTGGCTTCATAAAGCTTTTGACCTAATTTTATTATATTAAAAGCTTAAAAATGACAATGAATTTTGCCAACATCTTTTAAATTATTTTAGCAATATTATTCGAGAAGATATTAGTTATCTTATAAAAGAAAATAACTTTATAACTAATAATATGATTAAAGCTGTATATATATTTCCAAGAATAATTATAGAAAAATGAATGCATTTTTCTTTTTTACTTATACCTGACCCTAGATCATATAACTTTAAAGAAAAATTCCATTTAGACTTGCTTTCAGTCTGCAAATGTACACTCTTTCATCATCATACTCGAACTTGCAAAAAATTTAAGCATAGCTTGCAAAAACATTATAGATTTAACTTTCCAAGAGAACTTGTAGATCCACCTGGCATGATCTTTTCTAAACAAGGCATCATCACAATTTAGCATACAAGTGCCTTTTTCAATAACTACAACCTATATATAATAGCAGCATGTAGAGAAATAATAATATTAAATTTATATCTACTCAAAAACTTGTACTAGCATATATTCATTATATTACTAATTATATCACAAAATTAGATATTAGTATACATAGTTCTTTTTTAATATGTGCTTCTACTCTTGAAACTTTTTTAGTACAAAATCCTAATAAAATTTCATATAGTCTTATAGACAAATCATGCAAGCTTATAACAAAATGCCTTAATAAAATAGCTGAACAAGTGGAGCTTACAAGCCCACAAGTTTCTGTGTACTTATTAAATATCTATGACCATTATACATCAAACAAATTTGCTTCAATTTATCTTCAAACATTTGAGACTTATCTCTTGAAGAATGATCAAATATTTATAAAATTCTCAATAATATTGGTAATACTGATGAGGCAGATGTTGAATCAAATAAAGAATCAGATTTTGATAAAAAACAAAATAATGAAGATCCTGTACCTGAATCATTTCTAATAATATCATATAATAGTAATCTAACTGCTGCAAATATTCAGATCAATTATCAATTTTGAGACAAAGTACTATATAATATTTGTCTCTATGATTATGCTTTTACTATTCAGAAAGTTTTATTAAATTCTCATGAACTTTTGATGTTATCAAGCTAATTCTTAGACAAAACAAATCATATGTTGATTGTTTTCTTTTCTGCAAAGATGAATATGATCATAATCATGTTTGTGGATCCTATAATATTTATTCTTAATATAAAACACATATCCAATCATATAAAAGACGAGAAACTGAATAAGTAGTGGTATTGTGTAATAAAGAAATATCTAAAAAAGATGTTGCTGAAAATGTTAAATGATATGGACTATATATTTTTATGCTTTTTAAGCTATAAAAAACTGTCTAAGACCTTTGAGAAAATTATATTTCTTGGGCTAAAGCATGTTAAGTGTTTTTAGATAGCTCTGTTTTATCATCATGCTTAAAATCAATAATTTATAATATAGAATTACTATATAGATGTTCTGAAGAGACTATACTTGATTAAGAATTATGTCAAAATGCAATAAAAGATCCTATTTTTGCAAAGGCTGTCATATAGAGCATTTTGTCACTGGATATGATACTGACAATGAACCAGCTCTTTCTGATGATGATTTACCAACAAATAACCACTTTGATAAAGGCATATTTGAATTTAATCCTGAAATGATTATTAAGTCTAGTTTAAAAGATATTAAAATAATTAACTCTGCTATGAACTTTTTGCATATTCGAGAAAGATTTTTATTAAAAAAATTTTCATCTCTAAATAAAATAAATTCTATTAATAACTTTAAGTCAGAAACAATATGTCCAAGTGATGTCTATGATGCTAACCTTCTAAAAATTTGGCAAGCTACAATCTCTTCTTGAAAATTAATATTACAAAGTTATAGTAATAGTCCTGCTTATGAAGAAAAAGTCAAGCTGAATGCTCATTTAAATCTTTTACATGTTACTTGTGAAGATATATCTCTAAATAGTATTCTAATAAAAGAATATACTGACTCTTTAAACCAATTTGCATTAGGATTAAATGATAAACAAAAAAAGGCCTACTACCTTTTCTGTAATTATTATTAGAAAAATAAACAAAAAAGTATAAATAAACCATCCTAATTGCTATTTTATCTTACTGGTGCTGGCAGAACTAGTAAATCTAGAGTTATCCAAGCAATTTGTTCTTACTTCAAGCATACTTTACAATATGACTCTTTTATTGTTTTGGCTTCTACCAGAATTGCTGCAATAAATATTTGTGAAAGCACTATACATTTTGCATGTAGTTTTGAATTTAATAAATATAAAAATAACTTTTTTAATTCATCAAATGAATCTCTATGTCAGCTTTAAGAATATTGGTCTAAAATAGAATATGTGATCATAGACAAGATTTCTATAATTAGGCACAAACTCCTTAATCAATTTCATACTTTCATAAAAAAAATAAAAATAATAGATGATTCAGCTTCTTTTGCTAGAATAAACATTTTATTTGCTAGAGATTTTATACAATTACCATCTGTTTTAGACACTGCATTGTATATACCAAACAAAATTATTAAGCTTTCTACTCTGCCTGATCCATAATATTCAAAAAGCCTAAAGCAAAAATGTAATGTTGACCTTCTGTCAATTGATTTCCAAACTGTTAATGCTATGACAAAAAGAGGTCTTTGGCTAAGTGTTAAACATGCTGTTCAGTTAAAAATTCTAATGCATCAAATAGATAATCCCTTTTATATTAACATTCTTGAAAATATGTGTAATAAAAATCTTACTGAAATCCAAATATTGGCATTGCAATCAAGAATCCTTAATAATCATAAAATCAATTCTCAGGAGTGGAAAGATAACACTTTTCTTATAACAAGAAATAATCTTTATGTTCAACTTAATTTTGAAGTTGCAAAAGAGCATGCTTATAATAATAATCAGCTCATTATCCACTCTTGTGCACAAGACTTCTATAATCAAAGAATTCTTACAGAAAATAACCAACTCAAATTTTTATCTGTATCCGATATTAAAGAGAATGCACTTTGTGAAATTTTACTCTTATCTATTAATATGAAAGTTATTTTAATAGTCAATATTTGTACTAATGATAAATTAGCAAATAGCACATTAGAACTTCTTTGACAGATTGTGTATAATAAAGATTCTATTGACAGTTCTTTTTGAGAAAATGCTATAATACTAAAAAATCTTTCAAAATATATAATTGTTGAACTAATTGGTAAGACATCTGGAACTTACAAAATGCTTCTGACCAATCATGTACCAATTTATTCTATCAAACATTCATGTGTATACACTTTTAAGAAACATAATAGATCTAAAATTTGTAGAAGATTTCAGTGTTTTCAGCTTCCTATAACACTCACATTTGCATTTACAGACTTTAAATTACAAGAGCATACTCTTAAAAAAATGATTATTGATCTATCTAAAAAGCATGCATGCAATAGTGCATATGTAATGCATTCCAGATCACAAAGATTAGATAATTTACTCATTTTATAACCATTTAATAAAGCTGTGTTAAATGTATAATTATCTTCTGTGCTTCATGCAAAATTTGCACATATTGAAAAATGTGCTTTAAGAACATCTTATTTAAAAATTTAAGGACACATTAAGAACAATTAACCCAGTGGTCAACAGTCATATAATAAATATAATTAATTCTTTCATTTTTTATTTTTATTATAATTCTGAAATATATATACCTGTATCATAATATATATGAGCTAGGTGCTATAAAAAAAAATAAAAATAAAAATTTTTTCAAATGATATTTTTTTATATAAATTGATTTAAAATAAGTTTAGAATTATTTTTTACTTAAAATACAAAAGTAGTTATATGAATAAAATTTTACAGTATAGCTTTTTAAAGTTTGCATTTTTTTATGATTTATTATAAAGTTTATAACATAAAAATTAATTTTCTGAAGATCTTTTTTTGTTAATTTCATTTCTTTTTACAGTACCAAGCCCATATATTAAGTATTTATTGTGATTTTCTTATTTTATATTTATTATTATGCTCTATCAAACCTTATATCAAGTTAGTATTTTGCTTCTTTATTCTTTACTTTCTAAATAAAAGCTTAACAAGTTTATGCATGTTATAGAACTTTCCTAATTGCCACAATTTATATTTTTTTTACTTTTTCTTGATTTTTTTTCTTTTTCAACTACTTGACTATTTCTCTTTTTCAGTTACTCCTTATTTTCCTTTTTAGTATTGCTTGACATAAATATATATATTAATTAATAATTAGTATATATCAAAGTTCAAAAATGAAAAAAAAGTCATTATCTCATCTGAAAGTTCAACTTATTCAACTTATTCAACTTATTCAACTTATTTAATTTATTTAATTTATCAAATTTCATGAGCTTATTAAACTTATTGAACTAAATAGACTTGTGAACTAAATATATTAAGTAACTTTAGTGAAAAAATCTGGTCTTATATAATAGTAATATAAAAACTATAAAAAAAATAACTTTTGTATCAAAAATAAAGCAAATCTTGAAGTTCAAAACTTCTGAAATCATTAATAAATATATTTAACTGTTTTTCTCTTAAAATATTAAAATCATTTATCATAAACTCTTGTCTCTATATCAAGTAAAAAGAAGAGAGATTACTGTAGTAATACAAAACCTTATATAGTAAAAATCAATCATAATTTAATTTATAATTAACATCATTATATATAAACTTCTCTGATTCATGATTGCGTATATGATGCTATAACCTTCTACTACTACATTTGATTACAATATTTGCTACAATACTTACAGAAGAATAAAGAAGAAAAGTATTAACAAAAATACTACTGCAAATAAACTACTTAATAAGATAACATTTGAACACTTATCTAAGTCCAACACTATTACTAAAATTCCAATTAACCTAATTATTTGAACCAACTCTTTTTATACCTTGATCAACTCTTACCAATATTAGGGTTTGGTTATTATAATTATAATATTTTGATTAGATTCTTTAGTCAGCAGTGTTTGTAGCAAGTTCATTTTTCAACTCTGAAACTTTTTTTGACACAACTCACACTTTTACCTATGCATATTTTCAATGATAAATAATATTTATAATTATAATTACATTATTACTGATGCTTGATTCCTGTATATCTATCTTAAAACACTTACTAATTAATTAAATCTAATAAAGACAAATATGTATAATTTTTATAAATTATATAAATATAAGAAATTTATTAAAATTATTATCTCATTTAATTAGAGAAATGTACTTCTAATATTCGACTTAATAATAATAAAACCACACTACAACTATGATTAGTTAACAATTTATAATTCATAATGTAAACAATCAAACCAATCAATTTATTATTTATTTTTTGTATATGCTAAAATATTATCCTTTATAACTGATATTTTTATCTATTATTTAATTCCAAAATATTCATACTACTAATTAAACAATAATGTTTATATTTCTTAAATTTAATCATGTTATCTGTAATTACTAGTACTTATTTTATGCTTTGACTAAAGATGACCATCTTATACTTATCATTAATGTATGCTTAATTATAATTTGAATGTTTACATAAGTTACAATATGCAATGATTAAACACACTTCACTAATAAGTGTAAAATACCAATCTCTAGTCTTATTAAATTACCTCGATTCATTATTATCTTTATGTCTTTTTATAGATTATCTATTTTTATTACCAAAGATCCTGAGTAGGCAATTGATAAGTTATTCATTTATGTCAAGAAAATCATTACTATTTACTAAGCTGTTGACCTTTTTATATTATACTTATTACTTAATACTATTCATATGATTAACCAAATTAACTTTATACTATAATTATATTATTCCTATAAATAAATAAAACTATCTAATAAATACTCACTTTATGCATTTAATTAATTAATCATTTCATTAATTTGATCTATCACTCAATCTGTCATCATCTGATTTATGAGTTATGTATATTATCATATATTCAACTCTATAATCTAAAATTTATTTATTGTTTTCTTATATTATATAACTATGTTATACAAAAATTTATATTTAGATTAATAATTGTCTATAATAATAGTTTTATGGTGTGATTATCAATATTCTACTTTAAAATTTATAAAAACTATTTAAAATACACTAAATAAAACAAATAAAATTATTATTTTTATTACATTAATAAATTTTAAAAAAAAATTTGAATAATGTTTTTATTTTACTAATTTAATTTCTATTATTTTAATTAACTTAAATTTTTTCTCTTTTTCTGTTTCTGGTTTTGCACAATGACATTATGCAGCTACCTTATTGACTATATATAGGTATTAGAAGAATTGGCCTTAGGTCTACAGAATGCAGAAATTGAGAATACAAAAGAAATTACTAAAAGTGATCATAAAATAATAAAAACAGAAATATGGATTAAACATATGATGACAAGATATAGCAAAGCTAAAATCAAAAAGAAAAGACAATTAAGAACAGTATATCTATATAATAAAGCAAAAAAAGAAAATTAGAAAAAGTATGCACAAGAATTGCAAAAACAGTTAGAAGTCAAGGAGGTGCTAACGAACATCTAAAAGAAAGAAACAAACAATATAAACAGTATATTGAATATATTAGAAGAAGCAATCATCACAGCAGCAAGTAAGCATCTGCCTAAAAAAAATGTATATAATATACTGACAAATAGAAGAAACAATTAAAAGAAGCAATACCAAGAAAAGAACATTGTAGAGTTGCAAAGATTGATTAAATATGCAAAAACAAGAGAAGGTCAAAAATTGACAAAAAAAAAAAAACTGAAATAAATGAAAAATTATGAATAATAAAAGAAAAAAAAGGTGCAAAGTTGCCAAAATTACACAGACAATAGTTAAGAACCTAGATAGAAGATATGAAAGGTTGGCAGAAACTGTTATAGGAGAAAAAAAGAAAAAAATGCAAACAAGATCAAAGAAGACAAATAGAAGAAAATATAGATAAAGGATGTAAAATAATTAAATCAGACTAAGAGAAAATAATAGCTAGTCTATTAAACAAAGCTTACAAAAAGATAACACTTAACAGATTTATTAAACAAAAAAAAAACTAATGAGCTTAACAATAGAATCAGAATTAGTTAAAATTAGTATAGCAGAACATTACAAGAAACAATTTAGAAGAAATTTTAGAAAGGTAGAAAGAAGTTTACAAACCACAAGAACATATTCAAGAGGAATAGTATACAGAATTAAAAAAAAAGCATTAAAAGAAAAAAATAAGAAGAAGTACTGAGAGAACTTAAAATAAGAACAACTTCAGACATATTGATTATAAGTTATATATTACTCAAATGAGCAGAAAAGAAAATGCAGTAAGTCTTTAGAGCCTTTGCTGATTTTTGTTTAGAAATAGAAGAAATACCAATTAAATAGAAAATTGCACAAGTTTATCCAATACCAAAAAACATAAAGTAGGAATATAGCCTAAACAATATTCACCCAATAGCTTTAATTGAACTATTTAGAAAAGTAGTAATAAAGATAATAACAAAAAGGCTTATCAAAGTGTTTATAGAAAAAGAAGTGCTCAAAGAACCAAACTATGTAGGTCTATCAGAAAATTTAACAGAACAGCCAGTACATATACTTAATATAATAATAAAAAAGGCAAAAGAGATGAACAAAAAAGTATGGATACTCCTACAAGATATAAAGAAGGCATTCGACTCAGTTCTATTCAAAAGTTTCAAAATGGCATTGCAAAGAGTCAAAATTCTTAGAAGAACAATAAAATATATCTTAAATCTTTTTCATAAAAAACAACTGAGAATAATTACAGCCTATAGCTTAACAGAAAAAGTAACAGCAGAAGATGAAATAGATTAAAGAGAAGTAATATTATCATTAATATGGCACCTCTTCTATAATTCATTGCTAGAAAAAGTACAAGAAGATAAAAGTCTAGAATATACAGTTAAACAACAAATTAAAGAAGAAATGCAAAGCAATAATGTCACAAGATTTTGCCAAGCAGCAATTGCATATGCAGATGATACAACATAGATTGCAAACAGTAAAGATTAGTTATTAAAGATTCTAGAAATAGCTGAGAAGTT